CGCACGCAGAGCGTGAACACGGCCTTCACAGCGCTCCGCACGCTCATCCCCACTGAGCCGGTGGACCGCAAGTTGTCCAAGATCGAGACCTTGCGCCTGGCGTCCAGCTACATCTGCACCTTCTGCCTCAGCAACCAGCGCAAGGGGGTGAGTGCGCGGCCAAGTGCGGGCGGGAGGTCATGGGGGTCAGGGCTTCTTACGGAGCAAAAGAGGGCCGGAGACCCCAGTGAACGTGGAGTTCGTGGGGCGTGTGGTCCTCCAAGCCCAGGGTTTGGTATGGAACAGAACCACTTGCTTAATGTCTCCCGGTCAGAAGGGGTGCAGGAAAGCCCAGAGCACACGCAGGATTGAGAACTGCGATCTTCAGCATTTTCCATCTCATGGCACACATAAGCTAATTACTAAAATTCTGCGGCACACCAAAACATATATTTTTTGTTGATCTGACCAAATTTTGATTCATTCATACCAGACAGCTATTGTTGTGTTGGCTGTTGTCATTTTAAAAATATTTTTTTTGTTGTTGACTTCAGAGAAGAAGGGAGAGGGAGAGAGAGATAGGAATATCAGTAATGAGAGGGAATCATTGATCGGCCGCCTCCTGCACGCACCACACTGGGGATCGAGCAACCTGGGTCTATGTCCTGACCAGGAATCTAACCATGACCTCCTGGTTCATAGGTCAGTGTTCAACCACTGAGCCACGCCAGCCAGGCCTGTTATTATTTTTTGACAATCTAAAGGGAAAGAGATCAGTGCCCCTGATTAATTAGTCAGGTATTGCATTAAAAATTCATCCAGGGACACCCCCCCACCCCCAACCAAAGGTGTGCTAGGAAGAGGGCATGAGGAAATAATAACAAAAGCCATCATTTATTGAGCTCTTCCTATGTACCAGATGCTTTCCTGATCATTTTTTTTTTTTACCTTCACAAGAACTTCATCAGGCTGGTAGTGAGGCTGTGAGGCAGGGATGCCAGCACTTACGCAGCTGGGAAGCCAGAAGGCAGATTCTGAGCTTGCCTGAGCTACCCTGACCTTGAAACAGTTGTCTTCTATCCAGAGACCTGATCCAAGGCAGGTGACTGAGAAGGGGATGCATACCTGCAACCAAGAGCCTGCGGTGCCCAGCTGATGAGCAGTAGGAGTGAAGACGGGGGTTTCCTGGGGGCACCCAACCCCAAAAGGGACTCAGTGTTGGGCGAGGGCACTGTGGACTCGGCTTGGCCGAGCTGGAATTAAGCTCCTCTGCTCTGTCCTGGGTAAGGATGAGAAGCAGGCTGGTGGTGATGAATGGGGCTGGGGAGCAGCAGAGGTTGCCAGGGGGCTCTCATGGTAAAAGCTAGTTCTCCTGCCCAGGCCCCAAGGAGCCTGCTTCACCCCCAGCCTTTCCCCTTTCTGACCTGGGCTATTCCTGCAGTAAGGACTCTGGTCTGTGTGACAGCTTTGGAGTCCAGCTGCTACCATGTGTATCTGGGGAAATGGAGGCTGAGAATGGCCCATCGCCTTTTCAAAAGTGAAAGGGCATGGAGTCAGGCCTCTGAGTTCCCCAGTCTTTGATTCTCATGGCTGCCCTAGAGTGTCCTGGCCTCAAACCACCTCTTCTGGCTCATCAGACTCCCATTCTGGCCTCTAACCCCCATGGCTGCCTCAGTTTCCCTGAGGCTCCCTGCTGCTCTCAGCTGTGGGCCCCAGTCAGTGCTTCCGACTGAGTTGGGAAGTTGGAGTGGGCCTTCCAAAGCCAGCCTGGGTGTGGAGCGCCCTCCGTGATACTCCGACTGCCTTTCACGCTGCTGTGTCCCGTCATTCAGCAAACCTTAACTACCCAACAGCCGCCTTTTGTCGGCTCTGAGAACATTCCCAAAGAGGCAGGCTGTGGACCCTCACTCACCAGTCAGGACTCCTGGTGTGGTGTCAGGGCCAAGGGCAAGGAGATGAGGACAGGGATGCTGCAGCCTGAGGGTGGGGAGGGGGAGAGACAACAGGACTGTCAGAGCCCAGAGGTAGCCCACAACCAGTGGGCTCAGTTCCTGGTGGACGCCTGGGAATGAAGTCAAGCAGATGAGGGAGTACGGACAGGTGTTCTGGAAGCAGGGCACAGCACGAGTTGGAGCCAGACCTAGAGAAGGAACAGGGAAGACGTTGAAGGTGGTGGAACAGAGAGGAGAGGCAGAGACTGGCCAGTGACAGCGGTCTTGCTGAGCATTGATCGGCTGTGCTAAGCACTCGTCACGGGTTATCACTCCTTGGCAGCCTGAAAAGGAGGTGCTCTGGTTATCCACACCTGCTTAGAGATGCTGTCACTGGTTCAGATACACGGCCCATGATGGAGCCAGGATTCGAACTCAGGCCTGGGTGATTGGGACATGGAAAAAGTTAGTGTGGGAGGGCCTGTAACTGCAGGCCTAGGGGAAAAGGTGTGTCTATCATGCGCCAATCGTAGGTAAGTTGGTCTCAGGTCTGTCCCACAGGTCATGAACCCTTGCCTGGGTCTGGCTGCTTCCTTGGGATCTGTTACAGGACCAAGAACCCAGCCAAATTTGGCTACAGAAAGCATGCTCTCAACTCCACAGGCTCCTCTGGGAATAGGTGAAAGGGGCCATCCTGGCCAGCTTTGGCCCCTCAAAGACTTGATTGGAAGGAAACGGCCTGTCTTAGGGAACTCCTGGGGGCTCCCTTCTGAGCTTTCAGGGGGCCAGAGAGCTCTAAGACTCCAGACCCTATCCCTTCACTGGCTGGTCTGGTGTTGAGGTCACCATGGAAGCAGCTCCCTGGAGGCCTTCTGTGGTAGAAGTAACAATTCTGAGATAGAAAGGGAGTTCTTGTCTCTATGCTGTTTTCCCTTTTATCACCTAGGGGGTGAGGGTGGGATAGGACTGTCTTATAAGGCCCTCCCCAGTTGATGCTCTCAGCTATGGAGCAGAAGTGGCACCAAGGGCTTTAGGGTGAAGAGGCGCCATTACCAGATGATGTTGATAATACTTGTGAACATTGAACACTTACTGTGTTCCTGACACTGTGCTTAGGGCTTTATCAGGGTTAATATGTGTAGTCGGCACAGTAACTCCACTTTACACATGGGGAACAGAGGCTCAATGAGGTGAAGTCACTTGTCTGACGTCCAACAGGTAGTCCAAGGCATAGCAGAGATTGAAGCTCAGATCTGTCTCACTGGAACCCACTTCCTAACCACACTGCTTCCCAGAGCCCTTGGCGCTGAGTTCCTAAGAGACACAGAAGCTAGGCCTAGTCAGGGCCTCTTCAAGTGCTTTTGGCAGTTTACAAGCTTCTTCCACAGCTGCATTGGCAAGTAGAGTAATTTTGTCCCCATTTCATAGATGAAGAAACTGAGGTTCAGTCCCCGCATTCTCATGGGACTGAGGTCTCTCAGTGACCACCAGACTCGGGGTGGAGGTGGCTCTTCCTGAAGACATAGATGAAAGGGTGGGAGGCTGGTTTTCCATCCCCCATCCTCAACACTAAACCCTCCTCCCCCTACCCCATCCCCCCTTCTCCGACACTCCTGCCAGAGTTTGTCTGAGAAGCCCAAGCCCCAGGCTCTGCTGGGACTGTGGCCTCAGCCCTCAAAATAGCCCTGCCTGTGAATGAACACGCTGTCCCTGGGCCCAGAGAGCCTCAAGGGAGGCTTGGCTCACATCTGGATGGATCTGCCCCAACCTGGGCCCAAGGGCGGAGGGGAGCAGGGGGCAGAGCTCCCAGATGGTCAGCTCTTTCTCTAGATGCCTGAGAAAGATGCCTGTCCCATCACCTCCTAGTGAAGCACAGAGGGTGAGAATGTACAGTGGGATTTCAGACACCATCACGTCCTGGAAACAAGACAGACTGTTGGACAACATGCATTTCCAGCCCAGCTCTTTTACCAACTGGCTGGGTGCCTCTGGGCCAGTCACTCAACAGCTGGAGACCTTTAATGTCTGTGATCTCGCTGGCTTTACAGTGAGGATGAAACCCACGTGTCAGACCTCAGGATATTGGGTAGAAAATGCCCCTGTGGGGTGAAGCGCTGGTGGCCTCAGGTGCTGCTACCATTAGCTCGTCTTCCGATGGTCACCACTGATTCAAGCAACATCACTTGGCACCTGCTACATGCCAGGTCCTGGGCTGGAACTGGGGTCACAGAATGAAGAACATTCCCCGAGCTCCCAGCCTGATGGAGACAAAGAGAAACCCAGTCATCCCCCTTCTGAGATATCCTGGTGGAATGTCCCCGGAAAGGCAGGAAGTGCTAGCCAATTGCAGGCATAGAGAAACCTTCCCAGGGAGACAGGAGCAGAGAGCATATTTCCTGGCAGAGGGAACACGCTGAATGAAGGCTGGGAGGAGGAATCCATAGTCTCCTTTTGAGGTCACTGAGTAAGCCATTGGGCATATAGCCAGGCACTGGGGGTAGCATCACTGTGGGTTTTGTTTTGCCCTTTAATGTAAAATATTTAAATGTATTGGATTCTTTTTAAAAAGCAACTGACCACGTAGGGAAGAAATGAGGAAGGTAAAAATGCCTCTCTCCCATTCCGTCTCCCCACCATCAAATTCCTCTTCTCTGAGGAAATCTATTAGCAATTTCTTATGTGCCCTTCTCTCTCTCTCGACATCTCAGCACACAGGTTCCTGTGTGCTTTTGTCCTTAAATAATGTTATCTCGACATCATTCCATAGCAGTTCATAAAAAGTTTCTTCTGTCTTATGCTGCAGAGAACTTTATCGCGTGGCTGTGGTGTATTTATTAAGTCCCGTATTACTGGACGCAGAGGTTAGTTCCCACGTTCATTGTGATCTGATCAAGCTTCCTGATACTTCTTTCTCCCCTCCTGTAGAGCGGCCGTCGTGACCTGGGAGGCAGCTGCTTGAAGGTGAGGGGGGTGGCCCCCCTGCGAGTGCCACGGAGATGAGCCTGGACCCCTGTGGCATTTGCTCCAAGCAGGACCTGGAGAAGGAAGCCAGAGGCCAGCCACTGGTTGAACAGGGGAGAAGACCCCAGGAGCCGATCCTACCCCTCGATTGTATAGGGACCAGAGGACAATGGCTTGGGCCCGTGACCCTTTGGACAGGCCCCCTGGGACATCTCTACCCCACCGTGGAGAGCTGTGAAGACCCATCCAGCTGGCCCCAGCCCTGGCTGGTCAGAGACAAGGCAGAACTTTTGGAAAAACGAAGACTGTTGGTGACAGAGGGTGTGTGCATGAGTGAGTATGTAAGTGTGTGTGTGTGTGTGTGTGTGTGTGTGTGTGTGAGAGAGAGAGGAGAGAGAGAGAGAGAGAGAGAGAGAGAATTGGTGGGTTTAAATAAAAGGTATTTTTAAATAAAGGATGTTCCCAACTGAGGAAGGGAAGGGTCTGGGGACATCGGCGGTCAGAGGTGACCCTTCTCCTGGACCTTGGCAGAGGCACCGATGTCACCAGTGCTGCCCTGTGCCCTGGAGGGATGGGCTGGGAGAATGCAGGAAGACCCCAGAAGTCGGGATAACTAAACTTCCCTCAGAGTCTTCTTGAATACCTGTTGTGGTTGGTAAAGAAACCTTAATTGTATTCATTTTTGAATAAGGAATATATTCATTCATATGGTTCAAAATTCAAAAGGTACAAGAAGGTATAGAGTGAATACAAAGATTGTCAGTGCCAAAGGGTATCACCAGCAGATACCTATCCACCTACCACTTCTCTCTGCAAGCAGCCTCAGCCACCAGTTATGATACCCATTTCCCGTGAATAACCAAGCAAATACAGGGAAAAATACCTTTTTTCTTCCACTCTTTATACAAACGGTAGCATGTTACACATGCTTTCTGCTCCTTGCTTTTTTGTTTTGTTTTCATCTAACTTGGCTGTCATCTCAAATCAGATCACAGAGGTAAAGGGTCCCCTTATTCCTTTAGTGACTGCTTATTGCACTTTATGAATGTACGATGCAGGCATACCTCGGTGATATTGCACATTCGGTTCCAGACCACCACAATAAAGCAAGTATCACGATAAAGCGCGCCGTCATCTTTTTGCTGGTGGAAGGTTTTTGCCTTAAAAAAAAACATCTGTGAAGCGCTATAAAGTGAGGTGTAATACAGCGAGGTATGCCTGTACTTGAACCCATCTCCTATTCCTGTCTTGACAAACGGCTGTGTAGGCACATAGTTTTCCACGTGTACTAAAAGGGGGTATTCTTACCCCTGTTTTAATTGAGATTGTTTGGAGGAATGATGGCGCCTAAAGGTGCATGGCTGGCATGTGGCAGGGTGACAATGTGAGATCTGTCCACCTTTAAAGCCCAAAGTGAGCTCCCTCCCCTGCTGGAGACGCCCCAGCTGCAGTGCCAGCTCCTGTGACCCCAGTTCTCCCAGCAGCCCCGGGAGGTGGAGGCTGGTGTTTCCCCATTTCACAGGTCCAGCTGAGACCGTGATGGGGACAGCTGGCCAGTGGAGCCCAGAGTGCTTGGCTCTCCAGCTGAGGCTCTGTCCCTGTGCGGCCAGGATCAGAGAAGCCAGGAGGCAGAGGAGCTGGGAGAGGCTGCAGGGCCAGGCAGCGCCCTCTCCTAAAGGTATGCTCACATGCCTATTGTTTATATTTATTTAGCAAACACTTTCATTGTTTATCGACTGAAGTCTGGCTCCAAAGTCCACGCTCATATCCTCTCTGCCACCCCCTACTTGCCCTCTCTGCCTGAGCCTGAAGTGAGCTGCCCTTTCTGCAGATCAACAAACACTACCCAGCACCCTCACTGTGCCAGACACCACAGTACAGCTGCCTCACAGACAAACCAAGACCCCAGGAGACCAAAGGGGTCGCTGGAGTTGCCAGTCCTGGCTGGAGGAGGCCACGAAACCACTACATTTAATCCCTTTGGTATAAGGAGTAGAGGAAGGAGGGCCCCAAGGGGCCTGCGTCCTGCCCAGGACAGCTTTCCAAGTGCCCTCTACCTTGCTTCCCCAGTGTTCCAGGGACACTAATGTTCCCATCCAGTTGCGCTTCCCCCTTTGGGAGCTAATTAGGAAAGCACATTGCATTCCCTGCGCATACCCGGGTCCAGGTCCAGGCAGCCCCTGGCAAAGCCACAGGAAAAGGACTGTGACCTCGTCAATGGCAGGAAACCTGGGAGTGGGGAGCAGAGCAGGCACTTGGGTGCTCTGGGCTGGAGGCCCACTGTTGCCACCAGATTTGCTGGGTGACCTCAGAAAAGTTGCTTGACCCCTCTGGGACTCCTTGGCCTGATCTCTAACCAGCAAAAAACAGATGGGATAAAATGATAAGTATTTGTTTTGCCTTGTCAAATAGTTTTAATAGACCATTTATACCCTGGGCAAATAATTCAAATTGTCTCTAATAATATGCAGTGAAAAGTACTTACCTCCCTCAGGCTCCTTCCCAAAGGCAACTGCTCTTTGGCAGTTTCCTGTGTGTCCTTCCGGAAAGGCTCTATACCAATGACTGTTTCTGAAAGAATATTTGTAGGTTTTCATTGTAAAAAGAAAAAAAAAAATCAAATGCTACAAGACCCTAGAGCAGCGGTTCTCAACCTGTGGGTCGCGACCCCTTTGGCGGTCGAACGACCCTTTCACAGGGGTCGCCTAAGGCCATCCTGCATATCAGATATTTACATTACGATTCATAACAGTAGCAACATTACAGTTATGAAGTAGCAACGAAAATAATTTTATGGTTGGGTCACAACATGAGGAACTGTATTTAAAGGGCCAGAAGGTTGAGAACCACTGCCCTAGAGCTATCACCCCTCCCAAAGGTAAGCAGTTAACACTAATCCTGCAGAGTTTTTGTGAAACATACACAATCATTCACAGCATATTCAGTTAAAACTTTCTATCGAAGTGTATCATGCAGGCAGGAAAGTGCACATGCCATTAAAGGTACAGCATAACGAGTTTTCACAAGCTGTGACACCTGTACACCCAGCATGCACATCAAGGAATGCTGTTCACAGCATCCCAGGAGCCCCTCTTGCACTCCTCTGCTCAGACTGGGTTCTTTAAATTGTATTTCCTTTGAAGTAGATAATACATTTGCGGAGTTCACAGTTCAGAAGACACAATAGAGAATGAACTTCCCCCCCACCCACTCAGTTCCAACTCTCAGAGGGAATTACTTAACCAGGGTCTTGGGGATTCCCGGCCAGATAGTCTTTACAGATACAGGCAAGTCAATTTTTTTTTTCCACACAAGTTATAACATTTTACACACTGTTCTACTTTTTTCTTAACAATTCATCTTGGAGACTCTTCAGTGTTAAAAGGGCTGCTTCACACTTTTTCCCAGCTGCATAGTGTTCCACTCTGCACATTTTGCAGCTTGCTATCTTCCTTGAGTTCCTGGGTAAGAGACAGTTAATGTCTACGAGCCTTTGTGTGCAGCAAGGCCAGCCCAACACATGTGGCTTGAGAGAGGACAGCTGCGGACCAGGACCTCTGGGGGCCATTTGGCTAACACCCCTGCCCCCAACACACACTTTTTGCCTTCAGGATAGGCCAGCCCAGCCAGGCTCCTCCAGGCTCCCTGAGTGAGGGTATTTTAGAGCCAGAGGAGTAAAGGAGCTCAGGGAAAAGAAACTCAGGGTGGAGGGAGTGGATGACCAACTTCAGCCAAGTCACCTGGGACCCTGAAGAGGAGGCTGCAAATGCCAGGTCACATCTTCCACTCCGATGAGGGGCATTAGCATGAGCAAGAATGATCTAGAGTTCATCGTGTTACAATGAGGAGACTTAGCCAATACAGAGGAAGCAACCTGCTGGGCCTCCGGGAACTCAGGTCTCCCTCCTCTAAGGGAGTACACAGGGCTCCCTTCCCTAAGTCCACAATTGCACGTAGGAAGGCCTCACAGATCGCTCATGGCAATGGGGAAACCAAAGCCCAGAGAAGGACAGCAATGGGCCATGGTCACACAGCATTTGGAGCTGAGCAGAGCTAAGAATGCAGGGCCCTTCCTCCAGACCAGGGCTTCTCTACCTCATTTAATTCCCCTCATTGGCCCAAGCCACTTCCATTTTATTAGGCTCCTATTAGATTAAACACACACACACACACACACACACACACACACACACACACACACACGCAAAACAGAATTCTGAAAACTGGCATATTTGGCAAGTTAACTCTTAAACACCCATACACAGTCACAAGTACAATGCATTACCATGAGAACGTTAAGTCGAGGATTTACAAACACATTAGGACATCCATGTAAAGTTGAACGTCTTTATTCAATCCTGTCTGCGGGTTTCCTTCATGTGGACATGACATCAAAAATCTAGACCTGGACAGCAAAATGCATTACATGCCCTGGCCTAGATCCTGTACGGCAGCGAGAAATTGCTATAGAGAACATTATTGGGTAGTTGACAACATTGAGATAAGAACAATAGATAAAAGTCTGTTCAATGTTACATTTTCTGAATTTGCTAATAGTATGACTATGTAAGAAGGTCTCCTTGTGCTTAAGAAATACACCCTGAAGTATTATGAAGGGGTAGAGAAACGTGATGGAGGTGACATACTCTCAAATGGTTCAGAAAAAAAAAGTGTAAGAGCAGGATAAAGCAAATATGACCCACGGTTAAAACTTGTTGAATCCAGGTAAAGAGTATATGGGAGTTCTCTGTATGACTTTTGTCACTTCTCTGTATGTGTGTAAATGATTGCAGAATGAAGAGTTGAGGTCGAGATTTTGGCCCGCTCGGATGTAAGGCCTGCCAGATGGTGTCCTGGCCCCCTCTGACTCTTCCTCACCCCAGCTGCTCCAACAGAGGATGGAAAATACCCCCAGTGGACCCAGGCACCCCTGCCCATGACTCTCAGGCCCCTGTGCCCTTTGGGAGGCTAAGGTGTTCCCAGCCCCCAAGCCTCCTGCCACCATGATTTATGTCCCTGTGAGCCTCAGCAGCTGTGAGCCCGGGTCCCACCAGGCGGCCTGCTGAGGGGGGCCAACTTTTGCTTCTCAGCGTGTCTAATTCAGACCAGACTTACAGGCCCCATGGGCCTGGGATCAGGCTCCCAGGGGGCCAGGGTCAGAGGGCAGGCCAGCAGGGCTTGGAAACCCAGGAGGCACTGAGGGTGAACTGGCTGCAAGGCAGGAGACCTGGCCTGGTCTAGCTTGGCCTCTGCTCCTGTGTGACCTGGAGTGGGTGTCTGCCCATCTCTGGGCCTTGGGTTTCCTCATCTCGGTACAGCCTGCACATGGTGGACCAGAAGGACTTTGTAAACTGGGACAGACTGACCTTGTAGGAGGGAAGGCTGGTAAAATTTAGGAGTTGATTTTTTTTTTTTCCTGAATGCCCAGATCCTCAAAGGTTGGAAAAATGCCTAACTTTTTGAGGGCCTACTATGTGTCAGTCCTTGGTCTTCCCACTTTACTAAGTTTATTAATACAGGCTATTCAACAAGTTTGTACATTATTGCCCTATTTTATAGATGAGGAAACTGAGGCCCAGGGAGGTTAAAAAACATGCCGGGGGTCACTTGGTGGCTAATAAGCAAATGGATTTGAACCAGGTAATCTGGCTGCAGAGCCCTACTGGGCTCTCAACCACAGCCCCACACGTCTTCATCTAGTCCTATAAGGGCCCGACCAAACTTGCGCTTCCAGAACAAGACAGGAAAGGGCATCCCCAGCTTGGCTCTTTACCCCAACCCCTCGCCCAGAGGAGCCAGGACCCAGCTGCACCAAGGGCATCAGAGTCTGGGTCCAGGAAGCAGCACCTCCCACAGGCTCCCCAGTATTGTGGACACTCCCAGGACTGGAGAGGCTCAAACACAGGTTCTTAGAGAGTCTAAATGGAAGGGCCTCTGAAGCTTATCTCCTCAGAGCCCTTTAGTCACCAGTGGGGACACTGAGGCCCAGAGCAGGTGAGGCGGTATCCCCAACATCCCCCAGAGAGTCAGAGATGAGCCAGAACCAGACTCCATGTGTCCCAGTCATTGCCTGGCGACACGTCACAGGGCAGCAATGAGTATGAGAGTAAGTGACCTTGATGTGACTCACTAGTCAGAGACATCGCTCTAAGTGACATACACAATGGCCTCAATCTTGCAACAGAATGCTCATTTCACAGCCTCGAGAAACAAGCCCAAGCTAGGCCATGGCGTAGCTGTGATTCGGACCCAGGGGGTCTGGTTCCAGATGCCATCACCTGAGCCACAGCAGGAAGGCACAGGATAGAGTATGACTTCACAGAGCAACTTCAGGTGGTGGGTCAGCCTGTCAGTCAGTTAGTCAGTCAACAAACACACATTGGCCTGCTCGTGAACCAGGCAAGGCTCTAAGGATGATCAGAGAATAAGACAGATGTGGTGCTTGCCCTGGGCAGGCCACACTCTATCAGAAAATCAAGGTCTGAGCAGATAATAAAAATGTGATGGGTGCCCGGATACACCAAGGTTGCAGGTTGATTCCCCGTTCAGGGCACGTATAAGAAACAGCCAATGAATGCATAAATAAGAGGAAGAACAAATCTATCTATCTCTCTCTCTCTCTCTCTCTCTCTAATTTAAAAAAAAAATTAAAGACAAAAATAAATGTAACGGGTGCTTCCAATGCTCACGGGCATGTGTGAGCAGGAGCGAGGAAGCGGAGAAATTATGCTTCGGAGGCAAGAGAAGGGAGGCTTCACCGAGTGTGAAAGGTTCTGCAAAGTTGTCCAGCCCACCCTGCATCAGATGGCTGATGGGACACCTGCGGGTCCCTGGGTCTCCCCGGAATATAACCTGATAATCCCTGGCATCTATCTATCCTCTGAGCAGCTCCGTGGAGCAGTCAAAGCAAGGCAAGCTTTGGAGAGTAGCAACAACCTCGCCTGACTGAGCACCGCCCCTGTGCCAGGCACTGTTTGAGCCCCGTCCCTCGGCTACCCCGCCCCAACCCAGTGAAACATGGCTCCCCAACGTCCCACTGCCACTGCGTGACAGGCCTGGATGTGGACCAGGTACACAGGTTCCAGAGTTCCCAGCCTCACCTCCCTCCTCTACTGCCCCCCTGCTACATGCCGAGGTTCCCAGGCAGGATGCAACTGTCCCAGATCACAGAGCCAGGCCAAAGCCCCTGCCCACCACACGCTCTGGCTGCCATCATGCTGCAGCATCCCCAGTGCCTCCCCCAGTGCCAGCACGTAGTGGGTGCTTCGCAGATACCTGCCAAAGGACCCAGAGGCATAGTGCTGTCTCATCCTGCACACCACCCTGCAGAGTCGATTTTACCCATTTCACAGATGGGGATCAGAAATGAGCAGTTAAACCTCGAACCCAGCTCTGCGGTTCCTCTGTCTGCAGAAAACCCACGCCGCCTGCAAGCTCAGAAGACACTGGCAACGGGCCTTTAACCATAGAGGAGAGAGGGATGGGCCCAGAGCTCAGGGAGGAAAATAGGCGCTGACCAGCTGGGAACTCCATGGGAATGTCTCTCACGCCCCAACCCCATCCCACCCCAATCTGTCCCCCAGGCAGCAGCCAGGGCAGGGCGAGGAAGGGGTCAGGGAGGCAGGCCACGGATTCCCAAGGAGGACATCCCCTCCTGCCCCTGTGGGATGGCCAAGGAGCCACCCAGGAGCTGGGCCTGTCTTGCTCTCGCTATCCTCACCCTTCTCCTGGAGGCAGCC